TGATAAGGGTTGAGACAGAAGGAACAGCTGGTTCTCTGGAAGGTTATCGGGTTAAGATAATAATGGGCTCAGTGTGTGTGTGGGGGCGGGGGGGGGAGGTTTACAGTGATAGTATAGTGTCTGGAGCCAAGTAGTGATGTCGCAGATCAGTCATTCTACCTCTCAGCTCAGTGTCAGCTCCCTCACCTCCCTGTCCAACATTTCTGGATGCCCACCACGCGCTGGGCACTAACGATAAACGCAGAACCTAGGTCAGTGTGGTGGAGAAGGGGTCCCCGTTGCTTCCTGGAGACCAGGACCTGTCAGGAGAAGTGGGGGAAGGGGAGACACAGACTTCTTAACCCCTATTTGCCAACCCCTCCCTGTGTAAGGGAACTTTTTTGTTTGTGCTCCGCACAGCATGCGGGATCTTAGTTCCCCGACCAAGGATTGAACCCGTGCTCCCTGTAGTGGAAGCACAGAGTCTTAACCATTGGACCACCAGGGAAGCTCCAAGGGGACCTTTTCGGACTGTCAAGTGAGTTTAACATCTTGATGGCCTGAAGGCAAAAGATTTATCCCCCACACTGTTCCCCACATCTCAGGAGGGCTGACTGATGAAATTCTCTAGGGGAGTGCTTCATCTTTGTTTCTTTCGCTGACCACAGCTCCGTTCACTAAATGGGGAACACCTCTTCTCTTTTATACAACAATCCCCTCTCACCAGGGCTTCCCTGTTGGCACAGATGATAAAGAATCCGCCTGAAATGAGGGAGACCTAGGTTGGGAATATCCCTTGGAGAAGAGCTTAGCAACCCATTCCAGTATTCTTGCCTGGAGAATTCCCCACGGATAGAGGAGCGTGGGGGGCTACAGCCCGTGGTGTCACAAAGAGTCGGACGTGACTGAGCAACTAAGCACCCCTCTCACCCTCTGCCCTGGGGCCTTTTCTCCTACTCTCCCTCTCACATGGATTTATGGCAGTTGGACTCCACTCCATACCTCTGACCTCAACCCTCTCCAAGACATCACACTCCTTCCAGCCCTACTCACTCACTCCCTGTCATATCACACCCCTTTGCCAGCCCAAACCAACACCACCTCCCCACAATCTCACCAGCCTGCTTCTGGGAAGCAGGTGAGATCAGTGGTGGGCAGAGGCCAGAGCATCTACACCCCCGAGAAGCACAGTGAGGAATTTGAATTTTATTATAAGTGCACAGTAAACTACTGAAGGACTTTTTAGCTTTTTAAAAGTCATACAGATAACTTCCCAGATCCTTAATATACAGTTCAGTGAATTTTTATAGAGGGGACACACTTATTTTCTGGGCACTTAGATCACGATCTGGGTCATTACAAGAATCCCAGACAGGCCTTCCACCAGGCCCTACTCCACACTGCCAAGGGCCCCACTATCCTGACTCCAGAGGTTAGATTTGTCTGTTTAGCACTTTATATAAATGGAATCCTACACCCTGGACACTTTTGTTCTGACTTCTTCAGATTAAAATTACATATTAGTACACATTCATATTAGTACATATTAATACAAATACATATTAGTACACATTAATACAAATACATATTAGTACAAATCAGAACAATACATATTAGTACATATTAGTACATATTCATATTAGTACACAATGCTGTAGTTTATTATTTCTTATGCATTTCATTGTGTAAATATTACCACAATTTATTTAAACATTCTACTGTTGACAGATATTTGGATCGTTCCAAACTTGGATTTATTCCAAATAATGTTCTCTAAACATCCCTGCAAATGTCTTTAGGTGAATGTATGTTTGCATGTCTATTGGATAGATGACCTACAGAATAAAACTGCTGAGTCTTAAGCTATGCAAATATTCAGTGCTAATAGATATCACCAAAGCATTGTCTGAAGTACTTATAACAATTGTATTCCCATCAGTAAAGTATGAGAGTTCTAATTGCTCCATATCCTGTTGGATATGGCTGGCTGCTGGGTGGACAGTGGACAGTAGGAGGTCAGCAGTGGCTGCAGGAAGACCAACTGAGGTCACTACAGTTGTCCAGGAGAGATAACAGTGGCCTGGACAAGTCCAGTAGCCATGGAGATGGAGAAAAGTAAACAGACCCAAGCTATAAACTCAGTGCTTCCTCCTGCTTCTTCAATTACCTCTTTTCATTGAGACAAAGAGAGAGCAGAGAGTGAGACAGAGGAGCTCAGAGAACAAAAGGAAACAAATACTTTGGCTAAAGAAGCAAAAATTAGGGACTTCCTTGGTGGTCCAGTGACTAAGACTCTGTGCTCTCAAAGCATGGGGCCCAGGTTCAATCCCCAGTCAGGGAGCTAGATCCCATATGCCACAACTAAAGAGTTACATGCTGCAGCTAAAAATCCTGCATGCTGCAGCTAAAGATCCTGCATGCTGCAAGTAAGACCTGGCATGCATGCTAAGTCACTCAGTCATGTCCAACTCTTCATGACCCTATGGACTGTAGCCCACCAGGCTCCTCTGTCCATAGGGTTCTCCAGGCAAGAATACTGGAGTGGGTTGCCAGGCCCTCCTCCAGGGAATCTTCCAGATTCAGGGGTTAAACCCTTGTCTCTTACAGTCTCCTGCATTGACAGGCAGGTTCTTTACCACTACCGCCACCTGGGAAGCCCAAGACTTGATGCAGCCAAATAAATAAATACACAAACTTTTAAAAAATCACAAACAAGGAAGTCATTTGAAGTTGGTAAATCCAAAAGATAAATCCAGGTGTCTCTGGGTTCAAGAGCCTCCAAGTAAGTGATATAACCGGACAGGCTAAGCAAGGGGGCTAGCTCTGGCCCCAGACCTGCCATGAGACAAGGAAGAGGGAAGAGGGGTTAGAGGAAAGTTCACTCAACTCTGCAGGTGTTTCTGTAAGGTTGCTGCGAATGATGTAATGGAACTAAAGCTCTCAGCCTCTCCCTTGGAGAAGACCCAAATGTTGCCTTATTGGTGTGAGATGATCAAGGAAAACAGGGAGGCAAAGATCCAGACACCTGCAGAATTATAGAGATGGGAGATAAGCAAAGAACCTGGTTGGGTGCAACAAAGCTAAGGCTGAAGTGAGGGCGCCTCAGACACCTTCATAGAGTTCAGTCTTGACAGGCAACTCTTTGAGGAGACTCTCAGGGATTGGATCAGGGAAAAGATCAATTGAAAGCTAAGTTTAATCTGGTGGTAGCAGGACTTCCCTGGTGGTGCAGTGGCTAAGACTCTGCACTCCCAATGCAGGGGAAGCGGGTTTGATCCCTGCTGGGATCAAGCTGAAACGAAAGATTCTGCATGCGGCAGCAAAGATCAAAGATCCGTTTGCTGAAACTAAGACCCATTGCAGTAAAAAAAAAAAAAAAAAAAGAACCTGGTAATAGCAATGTAGGATTGAGTATGGGCACAGGGCAAGAGATATGGAAACCCAATAGAGAGAACGAGCACATCCTTCTTGTGGGAGGTGACTGGGGACGGACTGGGTGGAATAAAGGACTGACAGATTCAAGAGCCACTGAAGGACTTAAGGTCTGGCTCGGTATGGAGGATTCAAGTTTTTAGGACTGGTTGACCTGGAGGATATTTCCACTGACGGAGACAAGAAAGCCAAAGGGAGATGAATTTTGGGGGGAATAAACTGTGAAGTCAGTATGAGGTTGGATGAACTTGAGTTAAAACCAAGACATACAAATGAACAGACCCTTCAGGCAATCAGATCTGAATTTGAAGGTACTGATTTAAGAGACAACTATTGTTAGGAGCAGCAGCTGACACCCTGGGAGGGGGTGGGCTCTTTGAGGAAGACCACAGGAGAAAGACAGGGTTGTATCTTGAGGATTCTCACCCTTCCCATCAGTCTTCATTTACATACTCCTCCACCCTCCATCATAATCCCAGTTCACCAGACACTCCAACACCACTATTCCTTCCTGCTGCCAAGAGACTTTATACTTATTGACCATTTATTCTGAGTTAGTCTTCACATCAAGTCAACCTGTTATTTCATTAAATCCTGACAACAGCCACGGGAGGCACGCAGACCCATTTTACAGAGGACAAAACTGAGACCCAGAGAGATGAATCAATTCATGGAGTGTGAAATGAGCACAAGTTTGGCATTAAACCCAGGCTTCCTGATTCCCATTCACTTGGGAACCTACTATATACCGAGATTTATGGGGGATATAAGGATACTGGGGCCCTACCCTCCTGGAGGCTACAATCTGGACAGAGATAAGTAGGCACATGAATACAGATAAACTTAAAGCAGAGCCCGACAGTGTTGCAGGAGAAGCAATATAGGGAGATAAGGTCTCCCTATAGTTCAAAGGCATCACAGGAAGCTTCCAGGAGGAGGTAAGCAATCATGCCAAGCTGGGAACTTGCTGGCCTTGCTATTACATCAACTCTCCTCCAATAGGTACTTTGTCCGGGAATTTCCGCCGTCCGGGCCGGGGGCAAAGGCTGTTGCGGTGCAGGCTGCTGTGGAAATCGCTGCAGGGTAAGATCCAAATTAAGATGGGGCTTAAGGGACTGACTTTCTTGGTGGTCTAGTGGTTAAGACTCTGTGCTCCTAACACAGGGGGCCCTGGTTTGATCCCGGGGATGGGGGGGGGCGGGGAATAAGATCCCACATGCCATAGGATGCAACTTTAAAAAACTAGTAAATTTTTAAAATAATAATAATAAAGACAGGATTCAGCTTAGGTCTTTGAACCGGTCTTCGAAGAACCACATCTAAAGCCATGGTCCCTCTACTGAATTCCCATTTTCACGAGCACATCTCACCCCTCCCTCGCAGCGACAAATATTAGGCTTCAGTGGGCCTGACCAGAGGGGACTACAACCCCCTGAAAACTCCATGGCCACCGCCTCTTAGGATTAAGCGGAACTCCAGCCCCGGGGTTTGACGGGAAGTGTATTTTTTACGACACTGGAACAGATGGGGGGCGGGGGCGGGGCCAGGCGCAGTTTGCCCACGAGTAGGTAAGGGACGGTCCAACACACCTCTCCTCGCACTGTGCCTGTAGATGCTGCGCTCAGTCTTCTGCTCAGCTATCGGGTTGCTTGGCGCCATCTACTGCCTCTCGGTCTCGGGAACCGGGCTCCGAATTGGACCACAGTGCTTAATGAACAGCTCCTGGGATTACCACTTCCAAGATACCGCGTAAGGCTTAGCCTGTTTTCGCGGCCCTGCCCCATTCTCTGTCTCTGCCCACCTGCCTTTCCCACGTGGACCAGGGAACCTAGGCCGGACTCGGCTTCGAGACAGCTTCCTCCACGTGGGCCAAACGAGCTCTGCGCATATCCCCCTAGGCGCCTGCGCGGGGCGGGACGCCCCGGGTTAGGGGCAGCGGGGGCGCGCCCCGCGTGACCTCCGGCTCTCGCGTGACCCTACCCCACCCGCAGAGGCTCCTACCTGCTCAACCGCACGCAATGGAACTTGTGCGTGGAGCCGCCCAATGTGGTCCTCTGGAACGTGACGCTCTTCTCGCTGCTCGTGGCTGCATCATGCCTGGAGATCTTGCTCTGTGGGGTGCAGCTGGTGAACGCGTCCATTGGTGTCCTCTGTGGCGATTGCAGGAAGAAGCAGGTGGGACGGTGTGGGATGGGGCTGGCAAGGAAACCTATTTGCTCCCTGGCTGTGTCCGGTCCTCACTTTGTCTTTTCCGCAGGGCTCCTCTCAGTGAGGCTCCATCCACCTGGTCCGTGGCTCCTGGATACCCACCTGGCCCGCCCCCACCCTGGAATAAACTATTTAGAGTATTTAGAGTTCTCTTCTGCGTCTCAGACTGTGCCCTTATACAAGGAGTGTCTGAAGGCCTCCAGGTACACCGTTGTTTGGGTGTTTTTACACCTTGCTTACTATTTTCTTAATAAATAGTTACTGAGCTGTTGGTGCGCTGAAAGTACTGTATAAACAAGACAGGCAAGTTCTGTGCTCTTAAAGAATTTAACATTCCAGGGGTTAGAAGATGGGCAGTTTTTAAAAGAGGTGGTAGATTATTTCAGTTGGTTGTAAGCACTTTTTAAAAACACGGAGGTAATGGGGATAGGTATTGACTGACGCATGACCTTTTTCATAAGACAAAGTCCAAGAAAGAAAAATTGGACCTGAAATCTGGTGGATGGGCTAATCATCTGGACTGTTGGGAGAGTCCAGGCAGAGAGGGCAGCAAGGACAAGGACACTTAATAGGACTCAATATACAGAAAAGCCACTGTTTGAGTAGTGTAGGGGGAAGAAAAGGAAACATATGGAAACGGCAGGCTTCCCAGGTGGCTCAGTGGTAAAGAATCTGCCTGCCAAAGCAGTTGTGGGATCTATCCCTGGATTGGAAAGATCTCCTGGAGGAGGAAATGGCCACCCACTCCAGTATTCTCCCATGGACAGAGGAGCCTGGCAGGCTACGGCCCATGGGGTCATAGAGTCGGACTCCACTGAGTGACCAAGCGGGGACACATGGAAAAGACATGTTAGTCTCCTAAGTTCTAGAAAGTGAAACCTTAAGACAATATAGCAAAACAAAACAAAAAAAAAACAATATAGCATTGTCACTTAATTTGGGGTCAGTGGTGGTTCAGAAAGGAAACAACCTGGGCTCTTAATAGGATGACATGTTTGCAGAGGCTGTCAGAAAAGCAAGGACTTCCTCAACCTGTAAGCAAAATCTGTTTAACTGCATTTGTTTCTTTTTTTCCCCCTGAACTATGGATCGGTAACTTTCAGTAGCTTGCCCTAGACTTCTGAGTGTGCTTAGTCGCTCATTCGTGTCTGGCTCTTTTCGACCCTATGGGCTGTAGCCCACCAGGCTCCTCTGTCCATGGGAATTCTCCAGGTAAGAATACTGGAGTGGGTTGCCATGCCCTCCTCCAGGGGATCTTCCCAACCCAGGGATGGAACCCAGGTCTCCCGCATTGCAGGCGGATTCTTTACTGTCTGAGCCAGCAGGGAAGCCCAGACTTCTGAGACCAACCCCTAATTGGGCCTGGCCCAATGCCAGCTTAAGAGGAACGCGGGGCCACGCAGTTTCCCATCCCCCATCCCTAAAACAAGCCAGACCAAAGCCAAGACAGAGAAGCTTTAATAGCATAGGTGGGATGAGGCTTGGGGCTGGGAGAGGACGGCGATGGTATCAATTGAGGCAGCAGAGAAAGCGCGCGTCGTTGATGGCGGTGTCGTCGCGGAGGCCTTGAGGTTGCTCGATCTTGGTCTGCAAGCCGCATATGCCTTTAGGACAAGGCTCACTCCAGTCTCCGAAGTCTCCCCAGGTCAGGCCCGGCCCCTGCAGCTCCGTGCCGTCGGAGCAGAGGAAGCGCACGTTGTTCGCAGCTGTGTTGTCCCCGAAGGTCACGGGTGCCTCCACGCGAAGCGAGAAAGCCACCAGGAAGCCGCCGACGGGACACCACAGCGGCTCACTCCACCTTCCCCACCTGCGGGGGAAGCGTAGACGCACTGGCTCCGCGGCGCCCCCTACCCACCTCCAGCCAGACCCAGGCCTCAGGGGCTTCCCCGCCAGGTGCTCAGTCACCTGACCTCCACCGAGATTCGAGGGGGATGGGGTGGGAGGGGGCGGTCTCCCACCCGCTTCCCACGTCTAAACCTCCTGGAGGAACCTGCTCGTCGGAATGGGAGGGGATGTGTGTAACCGAGGGTAAGGGGCATACCCCGACTCTAGGGGATCCTCGGCCCCTAACCCCACCTTCCAGACTGGGACTCCACCACGTGCGCGTTGAGATCCACTTGCCCGCGCGTGCAGTGCAGCCGGATCCCGTTCAGGGCCGTGTCGTCGCCAGGAATGCCTTGCCGAGGCTCCACCTGGGCGACCGACGACGAATCAGAAGACTGCCACCCTCAGCTCTGGGGTCCCCTCTGAGACCGAGGCATGAGTCCCTACCTTGAGCGAGAACCCACTGGCGAAGAATCCGTCAGCACACATCTCAGGCCAGGCCCAGTCGCCCCAGGGGGCCCCGTTGGTCACCTCGATGACTGACATGTAGCCATCTGCTCCTGCGTACCCCAAGCAAGTGGCCCGCAGCAGCAGCAGCAGCAGAGGCAGTTTGGCTCCCGCTCCTAGCTCCATCCCGCAGCCTTCGAGAGCCCAGGCTCCTTAGCAGGCTTAAAAGCAACCTTTGCTTTTAAGAGGGCTCGGGTTGCGGAAGGGCCACCCGGATTAAGTGAAATTCAAAACTAATCCGGTCCAGTCTGGAAGCCTACAGATTTGACTCTCAGCCCAGCTCCGGAGGAGGAGGGGCAGCAAGAATCCACGAGTTTGAAAAACCACCCACTTAACACAACGTTAACAAATTTTAAACCAAGAATCATGGTTCGCGTTTTGCAGACATATTTTATTTAATCCACAAAACAATTTTAGGCGGTGGAGAGTACCCTTCCTATTCTGCAGATGAGGGAACTGGGGCTGCAAAATGGCAATTTGCCTAAGGTCACAGGCAGTAAACCGGGGAACGTTCCAGCATTGGGAAATGGGGAACCCAAGGCTAGGGATGGAACTGATGGTTCCAGAATCCCAGGGGACAGGGACCCCAGGGACCTCCAGGATGTGAGAGAGCATCAGAGTGAGACAGGGTAAGAAAGAATCCATGGACTATGGGAGCTAGGAAGCATCGTGTGAGTGGTAGGAGTCCTGACTCCTTGAGAATCTGGGACACCTCTCTCCCTCAAAAGAAACTGTACACAGAGACAGGGAAGAAGTCTAATAAATTTAGGGATAGGTGACTGAGAACAGAGATGCTATTTATTCCATTTCTTCCTCTATCCTTTTCCTCAATGTTTTCCCCCTATGACCACAAGGGGGACTCCTAATTCGAAAAAACAGACCCAAAAAAAAAAAAAAAAAAGACAAAAACAAAACTGCTCAGGTTTGTTGTGGGGAGTAGTGAAAAATGAAAGAAAGTGAAGTCACTCAGTCGTGTCCGACTCTTCGGGACCCCATAGACTGTCGCCTTCCAGGCTTCTCGATCCATGGGATTTTCCAGGCAAAAGTACTGGAGTGGGTTGCCATTTCCTTCTCCAGGGGATCTTCCTGACCCAGGGATTGAACCCAGGTCTCCTGCACTGCAGGCAGATGCAGTACAGTCTAAGCCACCAGTGGGGAGTAGTACCAACCCTCATTGGCCTGCCCCTCACACACATTCCTGTGCTTTATTCAATACATACTTATTTAGAAACAATGTGTTGTATCTCAGGTAATATTCTAAATGTTGTAAATAGAGTGAAATAAAGTGAAGTTGCTCAGTTGTGTCCGACTCTTTGCCACCCCATGGACTGTAGCCTACCAGGCTCCTCCCATGGGATTTTCCAGGCAAGAGCACTGGAGTGGGTTGCCATTTTCTTCTCCAGAGGATCTTCCCCACCCAGGGATCGAACCCTGGTCTCCCGCATTGTAGGCAGCCGCTTTACCATCTGAGTCACCAGGGAAGTGTAGCAAACATGAAAAGGCTCCTGTCTTCATCAGAGCTCACATCCCAGGTGGAGAGACAGATGATAAATTCTTCAATGTACCTGGAGCTCTGTAGAGGCACATTTCTATTCCTGGGGCCTAGTACAGGGTCTGGCATATGGAGGTATTTATAAAGGTTGGTTTGACTGAGGAATCATTTTGGAGGTTTAAAGAATTAAACAAATGTAAAAGGAGACAGCCTAAAGTATATAATTGAGACATCAGGATTCCAGTTCAAGACAAGGTCTCCTGAGGATAGGATGGGGCTTCCCAGGTGGTGCTAGTGGTAAAGAACCTGCCTGCCAATGCAGAAGACATAAGAGATGCAGGTTCAATCTGGGGGTTGGGAAGATCCCCTGGAGGAGGGCCTGGCAACCCACTCCAATATTCTTGCCTGGAGAATCCTCATGGACAGAGGAGCCTGGTGGACTACAGTCCATCATGTCACAAAGAGCCAGACACGACTGAAGTGACTTAGCACACATGCACAAGGATAGGATAATTTAGAAGTGGGTGTTTCCTGGGTCTCAGGTCCTGCATGCTTGAACTTAAAAAGTAAGATTTATGGAGCGATTGTGGTAAGCTTTTCTATTTACAGTGTTTGCACATATGAGATCATTTAATCCTCACATGAGGCCTTGCAAAAGAACCTATTATTATCCTCAATTTACAGTGGAGGAACTCAAGGCCAGAGTCAGCTTGAGGCCCACTATTGTTCCGTGGGGGACCTGCTTTTGACCTCAGCCTCTCTTCACAGTACCCAGGCTGCCTCTTACTACCATCCAGCCTTCAGGGAAGGAGAATGTAAGAGACGTGTCACTGCTACTGAATCCCCTAAATTCTCTTCATTCCAGTCCCTCACCCCTCTGATGCTGCCCTCTGGGGCAAAGGGCACAGGGGAAGGGGCCTTGGTAGGTTAATTATTAACTCTTTGCACCTCAGGCACTGCGGCTTCTCTCCCCTCCCGGAGGCGAAGGGACAAAGCCAGGCTAGCGGCTGGCAAGGGGGCGGTGGTCCCTGCTGCAGCCATGGGGGTCGCACTGCCGCGGCAGATACCGCGGCGCTGGCTGCACAGCGCAATTCCTCTTGCTGTCTTCGCGCTACTGCTTGTTTATCTCTGGGCTCGGAACCTTCGTGAGTAGCCCGTTCTCTGACCTGCTCTGGGAGGAACCGGGGAATCCAGGCCCTGGGGACCTAAGGCCTCACCTCAGGCCCTCACCGCTCTGTCCCGCCTCCCCCTCTCAGGCTGCGGATCTGGGACGCAGTCCTGCATTGCCGAGGGGCCGCCGCCTTTCCAGGTACGCTACCGGCAGGGCTGGAACTGGGAGCTCCTGACAGGGTCCCGAGCAGGGGAAAGTGGGCCAGTCTGAGGATCTGATGAAGGGCAGGCCCTCCTCCTACTCTCCCCTCTCCCGTCAGAAGCTGAGAGTCCAGCCAGAGGAACACCAGCTAGATCTAAAGAATAATTTCTTCAGAGCTCAACTGGGCTGCCTGGCGAGGCCAGCGAGCTAGGGGTTCTGCTCCCATCTCGATGCCCTCAAATCTAACCTGCAGGTCCAGCAACAGTCGGGACCCCTGGAGGGCTCGGAATGGGAAGAGCCTCAGTGTCTGGGCCCCCAGGGGATGCTGGGCCGTATGATGAGGCCGTTCCGCGCCAGTCTGAACCCGGAAGGGGACGTGGAATTGTCACTGTACCTGGCAGGATGGAGGGAGTTAGTCAGGTGAGTGATCTTTCTCCTCCCATCCAGTCCCCGCCTCTTGGTGGCTCCGTCGCCCTCTCTCAAACCTTCCTACCCTTCCCACCATCACACACACACAGGTTCTTAACTCCCCTCGGCTCCATCTTCGCCTTCGCCACAAGCGAGGCCTCCGCCAAAGTGACAGACCTCGAAGCCTTGGTGCACGGCCCAGAGGCCGCGCACTACACGTCCCTGGGGACGATGGTGGCGTGGGAGCGGCCCGAGATCGCCCCACCGCCCTCGGCCGAGGCTTCGGGCTCGGTAACGATGCTCTTGCTGCACCGTGCGCTACGCTGGTCCCAGCTCTGCCTCCACCGGGTGGCGACCGGGATGCTCGGAGGCCCGGACGCCGGCGTTCAGTGCAGCGACGCTTATGGTACAGCTCTGGCCCCTCATCACTCCTGGTTCGTCCGTCAGGCTGCCCACCTCGCATTCCTCGCTTTCCCGGGTCGCGGCCGCTTACTCGAGCTGATGTGTCCCGGAGCCAGAGAGACGGAGGCGAGGGCCGCGCTGGCCCGGGCCGCGGGCACCCTGAAGGACGTCTACAACCGTACCCAGGGATTATTGGCCGAGCGCGGCTTGCTCGAGCTGGCCTGATGCCTGCTGGCGAAAGGAAGGACTCACACCGGGAAGGCGTCGGTACAGCTGGGGTCGAGCCCTAGGCTGGCCTCTCGGCGCCAGGGGCGTGGTCACCACATACCACGCCTCCGTGGTGACGTCACCAACCCGGCGTGGTTAGGGTTTTAACATCTTCCGCTATCTGCAATCTCCCGGAGGAGGGAGAACAGTGGGGAATAAAAACAGTGGGGCTATTCTCTGATAGCCGCCGACTTAGGGCGTTTTGTGCGATGATGGTAGGCGCTTAAGGGAAATAGGAAAAATAGATGCGGGAAGATGAAGATGTGTTATTCCTATTTCTCGCCGCCGAGAGACTCGCTACCCCTGACCTGTCTCAGTCATTCCTACAGCTTCACTTGTCCACTACATGCCACGTCTCCAGTCCAGACCTGTCCCCTGAGCTCCAGCCCGCATAAAGCCAACTCTTGCCCAGATATCTCCATAGACACCGCAAATGCAACACATCCTACACGGATCCAGTCACCTTCTCCCAGAACCGCACCTCTTATGTTTCCTTTCTCAATAAATGACACCCTTTCCCGTCAGCTACCCAAGGCTAAAACCTGTGCGTCTTGATTCACGTCAAGCAGGCGCCAGCCCAATAATGTTCGTTTGTGGACTCCAGTGAACAAAGTTATACACTGACAACTCCCAAATTATAACTCCAACCCACTTTCCCCTGGATTCCAGAATACTATGTATACTCGTCCTTATTCCACATCTCCATGTGGATTTCAACTAGACATAGCAAACTTAACAAGTCCAAAAGGGAGCTTCCGATATCCTCTCCTCCTAAAATGCTCCATAGTCCTCACTACCTCAGTAAATGACAATTCCATTCTGCTACATCCTTAAGCTAAAAATCCTTATGGTCATCCAGACTCTGGTTTGTTTCATCATACCCACCTCCAATCCGTCAAATTCTATTTCTTTTTTTTTTTTCATTTATTTTTATTAGTTGGAGGCTAATTACTTTACATCATTGCAGTGGTCTTTGTCATACATTGAAATGAATTAGCCATGGATTTACATGTATTCCCCATCCCGGTCCCCCCTCCCCAAATTCTATTTCTTACTATCTTCACTTCTAGGACTTCCCTTGTGGCTCAGACGGTAAAGCGTCTGCCTACAATGTGGGAGACCCAGGTTTGATCCCTGGGTCGGGAAGATCCCCTGAAGAAGGAAATGGCAACCCACTCCAGTACTCTTGCCTGGAAAATCCCATGGACAGAAGAGTGTGGTAGGCTACAGTCCATGGGGTTGCAAAGAGTCGGACACGACTGAGCGACTTCACTTCATCTCCACTGCTACCCACCTATCAAGTCACTTTTATCTATCACTTGGATTGTTGCAATCGCCTTCTGTTTCTCTCTCCCATACTTTGCTTCCCTATGGCATATTTTCAATAGAGTAGCCACAGTGATCTTTAAAATGTAGAGCATATCATGTCACTTCCCTGCTCAACATTTTCCAGTGGTTTCCTATTGCACTTGGATTAAAACTTTTAAAAACTTAAGCAGAAGATTTTCTGGATCATATCTTCAGTTGAGAAGGATGAAAACTTCCTCAAAAGTCCTCTGTGATCTGATTGCACTAGCCAAACTGACCTCCTCAGTATCTATTGAATGTGTCAGGCAGGGGCTTCCCTGGTGGCTCAGTGGTAAAGAATCTGCCTACCAGTGTAGGATTCTCGGGTTCAATCCCTGGGCTGGTAAGATCCTCTGGAGAAGCATATGGCAACCCATTCCAGTAGTCTTGCCTGGGAAATCCCATGGACAGAGGAGCCTGGCATGCTGTAGTCCTTGGGGGTCGCAAAAGTCAAATACAACTTAGCGACTAAACAACAACAATATGTCAGGCAAGATCCTGCCTCAGGACCATTGTACTTGCTCTTCTCTCTGTCCAGAATGCTCTTCTCCAATATATACAAATGACTTCCCTCCTTTCTTTTGGTCTTTATTTACATGTCTCCTGAGTGAAACCTGCCTTGATTATTCTTTCTAAAATTTCAACACACACACACACACACACACACACACACACACTTCCTATCTCCCTTCCTTGCTTTGTTTTTCTTCTTAGTATAGTTCACTATCTAACATACTATATATTGTACTTTTTTTTGTCTCCCCCCATAGAAAGTTTCATAGGGCTAGGAATTTGTCTACTTTGTTCCCGGATATACTTTCAGTGCCTCAAATGTTGTCTGGCATCTAGCAGACACTCAACAGCTCTTTGATGAATGAATGTATGAAGAAGCACTGAAAATAGTCCAGATGATTGCAGTCAAGAGTGTCAAAAAGAAAAGAGGGGATAGCACAACAATGTAAATGTACTTAATGCTATTGAATTGTACACCAAAAATGGTTAAAATGCTAAATTTTGTATTATTTATATTTTACTACAACAAAAAATATTAAAAGAGGAGATGTGATTACAGTCAGGTGGGCAGGAGCAAGTTCACAAAGGCCCTTATAAGCTATTATAGAGATGGGAGACTGTATCTTGAGAGTTAATTTTAAGCGAGGGTGTGTCAGGGTCATATTTTCAATTCAAACCCCAGCTCCAGCTGAAGTATGTAGAAATAGTATGGCAAGTTCATAGGAGGACCACTCCACACAATAACAGTCAAATATATATTCTTCTCAAGCACACATGCAACCCCAGAGTAGACCATAGACTAGGCTGCAAGAGTCTCAAAATATTTTTAAAGGTTGAAGCCACAAAATCTTCTCCAACTAAGCTGAAATGGAATTAGAAATCAGTAGTAATAGGAAATTAGAAAAATTCACAAATATGTGGAAAGTAAAAAAGCACACTTTTAACCACACTAGGGCACAGAAGAAATCACCAGGAAAATACCTTTTCTCCCCCACTCCAAGAAAAATACTTTGAGACTAGGGCAAGTGAAAACAAAGCACACCAAAACTTGGGATGTAGCATAAAAAGTGCTCAGAAGAAAATGTGTAGGTATATATACCTGTGTTAAAAATGAAGGGGGAAAATGAAGGGGACTTCCCTGGTGGTCCAGTGGCTAAGAGTCTGTGCTTGCAGTGCACGGGGGGGGGGGGGTGCTGGTTTCCATCCCTAATCAGGGAACAAGATCCTGCATGCCACAACCAAGACCCAGTGAGCCAAATTACTAGTAAATAGCACAGGGAAGTATCCTTAATATCTTGTAATAGTCTATGATGGAAATATATATATATATAACTTAATTACTTTGCTATACACCCGAAACTAAAACAATATTATAAATCAACTGTACTTCAATTTTTTTTTAGTCTTTTAAATTATTTATTTTTCCATATTTATATTTTTAAATAAATGCATATATTGAATCTTAAGCTCTTTCTGGCCAAAGATTGGGTCCTAGGAAGACCAGTCTTGCACGCCTGTCCTTGCAAGGCTCTTGTGAGCACAGGCTGTCCCTGTGAGGGGGCAGCTCAGCCTCACCGGGCCCCGCCCCACGTTTGCGTCTGTACCCATGCTCGGCCCCAGGTAAGTGTTCTCCACAGATCCTGCTGAGTGATGTCAAGTCAGTTCCAACCAATTCTGTATCCAACTTTCATTAGCTTCAGCTTCCAAGACGTGTCTCCATTTTAAAGCGACACACACCCAGTCTTTTGATAGCAATTCAGAAGATTCCATGAATGAGAATGTGCGGCCTATCCCATCTGATTTCTGGAAATTCTTCAGACTGGATGTATAAAATTTTGATGAAAAAATGTACCATTGCGCTTTGAATCAATTAACAGGAAGTCTCCTGTTATACAGATTTTTCTGGTAACGGGGGGTCACGATGAGTAGGGTTTTATGGATTCTTTCTTGGTATCTTCTCTGACACAACTCATGGAGAAATTAGTGACACTGATGTGAATTCGTTTCGCTTGAGACTGAGCTTCATGTCCTGGGCCGGGGGAGGGGGGGCGGCGGGGGGAAGGGGTCACTGCACACATTTCATGGGTCCACAGTGAAGCAGTGTATTTTATGAAAGCCATTAGACTTACGTGAATGGGATTTTACTTGGAAAGTTAGGCTGAAATTCAAGTTAATGCAAATGAAATTAACCAGGGTCTGCAAAATAAGCTTCATAAAGAACTGAAACACAACCACGTGTGAGGGTGGTTTCTAAAACCTGGCTCTTGCTGTCTCAAACGTGCTGAGCCCTGCCGCCAGGGCGTGGGCGTGGGCGGTCAGCCTTGTGGGGGTGCCAATGGGGCAGCTGACTGAGAGGATGACGAAGGGGCATGCAGGGCCCTGGGAGCAGAGTGGACAGCGTCGGGGGTGGGGGCCGAAAGGGAGGGGGAAGGCCCCACATGAGGCTGAGTGCAGTGGGGGGCCAGTGAAGGGGTGGGGGCAGGCGTCCAGGAAACGAAGCCCTGGGGCCCCAGCCCCCACAGCAGACACGACCCGGCTGGGGGCACCTCCTGGCATGCCTCCCTCTGTCCCACCGCCGTGACCACAGGAAGTCCCAACAACCGGGCTCCCTGCTGCTGGTCCCGCGCCGCGCACCCTGGGCTTCCACTCGGCGGACGGCAGCAGAGGGGCGAGCAGGGCTGGGACCAGACGCCTCCCACCCAGGCCGGGGCTGCTGTGCAGAAGCAGAGGGACAGAAGTGTGGCGACAGGCTGCGGCAAGGTGAGTGGACGTGACGGATGACGCCGAAGCCCAAACGTTTATTTGACAGCCTTTTTTTTTTTTTAAAGTTTGATGTTGGGAGTTCCCTAGTGGCTTAGTGGTTAGCATTTGGGGCTTGCACTGCTGTGAACTCTAGTCAGGGAACTGAGATCCTGCAAATCAAGAGGTACAGCCAATACATAAATAAGTTTAAAAGCCTATTTTCAAAAGTTTGATGTTTTGCTCATGAAGAAGACAAAACGAAACAAAAGCCCTCTTAAATTAATAACTCAACAGTTTAAAAAAAAAGATAATCCAACTTTAAAACGGACAAAGCACTTTCCAAAAAGATATGAAAATATTCATTCAGCACATGAAAATGTGCTCAATGTTACACAAGCTATCACTTCACACCTTCTAAGAGAGCTAAAGTTAAACATGCTCAGTAACGATTAGGAAGTGGACAAATCGGAATCCTCGTTCACGGCTAATGGGAATGTAAAATGAGGCAACTGCTGTGCAAAAGCTGTAAGTTCCTTAAAATGCTAAACAAAAAGTTACTACATGACTCAGCAATTTCATTCCTACTATATACTCCTAGGTATATAACTAAGAGAAATGAAAACACAGTGCGGTCACTCTAAACCGGAGATGCACAAGTCTATGATGAAGGTTCTTTGATCCGCAATTCCGATCAGATTTATCAGTCCCGCCCGAACCAGGAGGAAAGTAGTCTTTCCACACGGTTTGCGGGTTTTTCTGGTTTTTTTGGTTTGTTTGCCAGCCACGCTGCCATCAAGCGCTCCCTGTCGCAAAAGAACTTCCCCTATGCATTTCTTTTCCCTTCTGCCGTCAACCAGAAGTCCTCAGAGCACGACTTAAGAGCGTGACAGAGCGCTTTACGACAGTTGCTTTGCGGCAATACCGGAGGAGGAAGATGGCGGCCACCTTAGTAGCAGCTGGGGGAACCAGGCCGGCACCAGCTTGGGGGCCTGAGGCTATTGCCCCCGACTGGGAGAACCGGGAAGTTTCCACAGGGGTAAGGAAGAACTCGGG